CGATGGCAAGAAACTGACTGACACGGACATATCAGATCTGCAGAGGACGAAAGCGTTCAGAGACAGGTACTCAAAGTATCTTCGGAAGATCCTCCGTCCTGAATGTACAATCATCCAGATGTTGGAGGACTGGCACTGTAAGTACAAAGTGACAGCCTCCGAAGGTGCCGGAAGGGCAAGAGGAAGATTGGATCCCGTTCGAAAGGTGTCGCTCTTTACTGAAGACACAAAGGCTGCTGTTGCGAACTGCAAGGACAAGGCAAAGCATTTGGTGGACCCGCTGGATATCAGTGAGATGTATGATTCAATTAAGCCCAGTAAAAACTCCAAGCACCAGCTCACCGAGTATCTATCAAAGAGAGGAGAGTCAAAACTGGAATCCTTTCATGACATGCTGGCCCATTTCGCGAATGGAGGAATGAGAAGATCATTAGCCGACAGCCTGAGTCTGTGTGGGACAGCACGGTTCAATCTAAAGATACGACACAAGAGAAGGTTAATGAACATGACAGCAGAAGAAAGACAAAAAATTCCTTCTGGATGGGAGCGAGTTGTCCCTTACTGGAACCACCTGCAACTGACACATGTCAATTCTCTTGCAGCGGCCGCTGGTGTCATTTTCCCATTCCAAAACGTCGAAGAAATAAAGGAAGATAATGGTGAGAGATTCTTCTCGAATTACATGAGTGATAACGAGCCACACTTACAGGATTATGGCGATGGGGATCGCTGTTTGTGCGTTGATTGTGGAGGCGATTCAGAGTTTGGTGCACCTCGAAATTCAAATCGATCGCCACAACAGCAAATGAATTCAAATCGATCGCCACAACAGCAAATGGATACCCCACCAATTGCGCGTGCGGCAACAACATTTAGAGATAATGAGACGAACGTTAACCAAATGCAACAACCACCATTTCAAATGCAGCCGCAACCAGCAACTGTTGTGACCATGCCGGTGCCAATCTTCATACCGGTCCAAGCCGCTCCTCCACCATCTGATGAACCGTGCTGTGAGAGATACGCAGAGTGGCTGCTGCGGCCAGGAAGAAACAAAGGAAGGACGCCGCATAATGCTCATTGTCGAGAAAGACGAGACCGATACTATTGTCAGTTCTTCAGATAGCAGCGTAAACGATAGTGCAACATTATATATATTGCTATATCAAAGGAATGAATTCAAATTTGTGGGGACTACTTCAGCTTTGACGAGAAAAAATGGTTTGGGATCACTCCATGAGTGTAATGGTGATGGACATCATGACACTTTTAGTGCCGGATTGTGGCAGTAGGGCTGGGCTATCGGTGTTAATATCGTTGTATCCCCTCCCCTTCCTGCCTTCAGCCCTCTTTTGTAAGTAATTGGTGATGTCTTTCCCAAGTGACAGTTGCAATCCAGCCGGTCACACAACACGTCACTGATTGGAATCTGGAATGAACCCTGACCTTTTTCTCTCTTCAACCTGGAGTGGGCCCCCCTTCGGGGTGCCTAACCCCCCCTAAAACTTTGATAAAGGGTCGGTTTTTGTTAAGGCATGCACGATTGAGGAACGCTCCAGAATTGTTGGAGGTTCGATTCGATTCGATTCGATTCATCATGTTGATGGTCGAAGCCGCCAAGCGGCTGTCGGCTTACTTTAACGGTAGAGTCGGAGGAGCTTAAGCTTGACACTGGCGCGACATCAACAAAAGGCCGGGCGGAGAAAACACCGATGATACAAAAAAGGGAGGTCATCGACCGTCATCACGCGATAAGAAGGGCAGCGCCAAGGAGCCGATCAGTCGTCATGCCGCATGCAATTGAGGCCGGGGTACTGGATAGCGGAGAATTTGGGGTATCTACTGGGAGGTCATCGACCGTCACCACGCCATGAGCACAACATGGGCCAAGCAGTCGAGCAGTCGTCATGATGCCTTCAATTGAGGCTACTGAATAGCAGAGAATGTAGGGTATTTACAGTACCGCTTTGGCCAGAGCTGCAGCCTTCCTTCATCGCTCTCACAAAAGAAAGTCGAAATTTTTCTGAACTGAAGCAAACTCAAGTGATCAATCAAATCATGTGCCGCAAAGTGGATTGCCGAAACTGTGGCAAGGCGACATGGAAAGGCTGTGGCATGCACATTACTTGTGCCCTTGGGGGCGTTACAGAAGACAATAGGTGCCCCAACTGGAAACAAGGAGCCTGTCAGCCTTGTGGTGTGAACTGATAGTGTGGGTGTCTCTGCTACATGTACAATGTACCTGCCACTTGGATGAGTGAATGGTCTAGAGTGAAGAGTACAAGCAGAAGGAAGCGATGTTGGTTACCCGTATTGGTTGGAGCATGCGAAGAAGGATTGTTACTTGGCTTTGAAATGTGGGGCGAGGTGTTCGGCCACTGGCCCGCAGTATCTTTCACCCTAAATTTGCTCCAACCCTTAATCTTGTGATAGTCTGAGATATTTTCCATTGTGTGCCTCCAACTATTCCTTTGGATACATGTATGCATACGACCATAGTCTGTTGTTTTGTTTTATGATAAAAGAAACAAAGCCACTGCAGACGTAACGCCCAAATCTGGTATAAAGCTAGCTTGGCAAGCTAGATAGCTGTCTTCATTATTTCGCCGTCAATGCTGGTATTACCAGTACCAGTACCAGTACCTGGTAGTCACACGATTTTAGCAAAGAGTGACTGGATTTATTTTATTGAAACAGGGCTAAAACACAGGCTTCGGCCTCTGTGGTGACTGTGGTGGTCTGTCATCTCATCAGTCGCGTCAAGACGAACCCTTTTTAGCTAAAGTCTCGCATTCTTAGACCGTGACGGCGCATTGCAACCGTAACCGTCGTTTGAACGTTAACTGTTGCTGTTAATTGCTACGGAGTATTTGAACTTGTGCGGGTATTTACATTTGCCTCCAAAAGCCTATCGCAGCACCCTTCCTCTCACAAAAACAACTCTGAAGAGCTCTCCGAAGAGGAAAGGAACGAAATCAAATCAAATAATATGTGCTCCAGAGCAGATTGCCGAAACTGTGGGAAGGCCACATGGACCGGTTGTGGTATGCATGTTACCTGTGCACTGTGGGGCGTTCCGGAAGAAGATAGATGTCCCAACTGGAGACAGGGAGCTTACCAACCCTGTGGTGTCAACCAATAGTGAGCGAGAGGCGTCTCTGCTACAATGTACCTGCCACTTGGATTGCTCCATAATTTGGATGGAATCAGTGGTGTGGAGTAAGCAAGTGGACGGAAATGACGGTGGCTTTTGGTTGAAGCATTGTGAAGTGAATGATTTATTGGCTATCGCCACATCCTTCAACCCAGATTTGCTCCGGTAACCCTTAATCTTTGTGATAGTCCAAGATAGTTTCCATTCTGTGTTTCCGCTTTTCCTTTGATTACATTTTGCCTGCTGTTTGTCAAGCAACAATGAATCAATTGCAGGTCTAAACTGAAGACGTGGATGGGCTAATCTGGTATGACTTGTAATGCCAATAGTTTACCCTTCCAAGCCTGCTCAAATGCACTTGGCACGGCCTGAGTTGTGCCGCAGAACCTTGGTTGAAAGGTGACTGGAGTGCTCGAGGACGATTCAAGATTCTTCTTTCTGCAAGAAGCTGCAAAGTGGCTTTCCTGTATGCGTAGATTTGCTGTTTGGTCCCAGAGTGACCGAACCCTTTTGCAGACCAAGATTCTGGCTACCGAAAAGGATACAGCTATGCCCCAGCAGTGCATTCCAACCCACCTCCCTTAGATTTTGCTACAGTTTATATCATCAGAAACAAGACAAGAAAACCGTCGTAGAAACTCAGCTGGTCTTCCTGCTACTTCTGCCACACGGATGTTCCTTACTGTGACTCGACATTTGTATACCGGAACCGATTGCCGGTCCTTGCCACCCCTTTGCCCCTCATCAATCAGCAATCGGCTGCTGGCTGTTGAAAGACCAGTAACGGAGTTAAGATGCGTCACATCTATAACCAATAGTCGATTTGTGGCTTCCTAAAAGGGAGAACTGAACCGTGGCTATAGGTAGCTAGCTTGTAGTAGACAGGTTGGAGCACACCCAACCGGACGTTGACGTTGGCATCCATGGCTTGAATTTGTTGAGAGTTGGTGCTGATGTGCAGTCCAGTGCTCAGAGCTGTGCTGGTACTGCTTCAACAGACAGTTTTCCTGGACTCTGGCTATCACCAAAATCTATCTTCGCATCTAATCAGGTAGCAGAGCTGGTAGCAGTCAGCACACGATAATCATGCATCATGATTCCGGTAGCCTGAAGGGTGCTGGTACCATCTTGCCATCTTGAATGGTAAAATAAGCCATAATAAGGGATAACTACGTATTGGAACGGCATCTCATGTGGATTTGCGTTTGATGGTGTCACATTAGCCCAGGCTTTGGTTGCTGAACGGCTTCTGACTGGCTTGCTCCATGATTCTTTTCTGCTTATGATGGTTTGAAGCTATGCACACATGTACCGGATGGGCAGGTACTAGTAGCTGTTTACTTTGAAGAGCTCTTTGGAGTACCGTGTTCCTGCACCAGTACAGGCAGGTAGAGTGGCTCCAGGTGGTACCGGTAGGTGGTAGGTGGTACCTGGTAGTGATCAGGAAGTTTCGCCTTTTACCTAGAGTCATTCCCAATTCCCAATTCGAATCGAATCCAACCGAACCATGGATCGACAAGTAAGTATCTGCGCGGGCATGTGGTCACCTAGAGACGTGACTAAATGTTAAATCTCAATCCTTATCAGCTGGATTTGACTCGCCCTAAAAGACCAAAGTGGGATTTACCAGGACCCACCCCTTAAAGCTACTTCAAGTAAAGTGGCATAAAGTGAACTCTGACTCCCACTCCTTAATTCCCAATTATTCACTTTGTGTCCTCTCGAGTACAGTACTCCAGAGTACACGTGTACCTAGTAAACTTCTGTACGATATATATTTGTATTTAAGTCTGTGTCGGAGTAGTCATAAGTACCGTACCGACTTGACTCGACTCGATTGCCGACCAAAATCTGCATCTTTCATCTTTCATTTTACCGGTAGATCTCATCTCGCTCTCATTTTTCTGATCTGACCACAGGACGTCTGTTGCCTTGCTTTTGCCTCATCATCAACTGCGATCATGGGACAGTGTCAATCATCCAAAATGGCGATCGAGGTTTTGGAGCAGGTCAATTTGCGCGAACAACTTGCGATCAATAAGGAGATTCTGGGTGACAGCCAAAAATCCTCCACCCCGACGGTCGATTGTACCTCCGGGAGCCTTAATACCCGTTGCCGACTGGAAGTTTGCCCTGATGCTCTCCCAGAACTCGTAGATTTTGGGAACAATGGCAGGCTTCGTAAGGCTCAGTTGCGATTAGAAAAGCTACCATCTTTGAGCACAGCACCTTCCGTTGCTTTGGCTAGTGCACCGAAAACAAGGACGAGAAACTCAAAGAAAACAGGCAAGCCAAAGCCTCGGGGAGAGCATCAAACCCAGAGTGGAAATGCAGGAGAAGGTACAGACACAAGTCAACTGGAACAATCCTTAAATGACTCGAGTCTCCGTGTGCAAGATATGGACAACTCGACCACCACCAGCAATAGGGACTGTCACTCAAAGAACAAGGAAAGCTCCTGGCATGATTTTTCGCGCTCGGGGCGTTTGATGGACGAGTCTTATTCGTGCCCCTATTACTCGTGGCATGTTAGTCGAAGAGCCGATCCTTGTTCTCGAGAGAATAAACGTGCGTTGGAAGAGTTGATGGGGATTGCGTTGTCTGACGATGAAGAAGAGGATGCCAACTTGGAACTGGTCGAGGAAGACGATACCAGTAGTTGAACGACTAAACCGCCTAATTATTCATGTTGAACGAATTTCTAATGGTGCAAAAGTGCAAACCTCGCTGCTTCTTTTGGTGGCTACTTTTAGTTTCAAAGTTCACCTGGTGCCGGTAGGCCCAATGGTACGTACTGGTATTGAGGATACGCTAGTGAATCCTGATGCAGGAGCCACCGAAAACCATGGTGAAACCAACGCTGAAGACGCTGGTGGACTTGGACCTTGCAGGGAAGTTGCCAATGCAGAACATGCCTTTCTTGATGAGAAGAAAGAATCCATCTTGCACAAGCTCTCACGGAGGATCCACCCGTTGTTCAGAATCAAGAAAGAGTGGTTGTCAAGCGTGTTTCTGGTCGCCCTGAGAAAAGAAGGATTATGTGTTGAACTCCAATCTTCCTCGTTCCAGTAACAAGGTGGGGCCTCCTCCTGTGTCTGTCACTACGAGGGCGCCCGTCGCGAGCACTGCTATCATTGTTACGTCTACCAATGGCGGGGAATCGGTTGTCACGGAAGAAACCAACGGTGATGCCACGATGCCACTTCAGCAACAGCCACAACGGCTACCAATAGCACCGGCTTCAGCGGAGAGCAACGTTGGGTACCGGTACATCATCCGGTATGCAGATGCTTGAACTTGCTGGCAATTAGTTGATTGGGAGCCAATGAAACCCTGGAAACTTGAACTCAAAACTGCTCAATGTTTCCAGATCTGTCGCGCACTTTGCACTGCTTCAATCGCTTCACGGGAACTATTCCAACCGAGCATGGGGTGTTGTCCAATATGGACGTCCCCACTGAGATCGGAGAGATGGATGTTGAAAGATTCGTGGACTTGACAGGCACTGTCCCAGCACAACTTGGCAGGCAAGTGTCTTGACTGCCTTTGGACTTGCTGATAACTCTCAACTTTCTGGACCAGTTCCCTCCGAACTTACATTTTTTAAGTGGTGGGCTTGAGGGAAATCTGTATGGAGGACACTATGTTGACTGGGACCATTCCTGCGAGGCTCTGTGATCTGAATGCTACTTGTGTGTTTGACACATTCAGCTGCAACTGTTCCTTGGTGGAATGCTGTGTACCGCCGGCAGGGAAAGCAGCAGTCCAAATTGCAGAGGAAGGTGCGGCCATCTTCAATGAGGAACGATCACATCCCACGAACGGAGAAGAGGGAAGTGCTTGTTGAAGAGCACAAACCCAACAGGGGGAGAGAAAGCTATTCAGCTTGCTACATGTACTGGAAGTTATGCTTCAAGCTTTCAAAAGTTCTCTATGTAGTGACTTATCAGTGACTATAAATTGCTATCTAACAAGTTGTGGCTGGATAGAACTGCTGGGAGGCCCGAAGCATCGTAATTGATGATAATGAATCACGTTGGAATCTTTCTGAGCTCGATCTTGACCTTGCTAAGTTTGGTTTGATCTGGCACATCAGTTTCCAGTCTTCCATGTTGAAAATCACTCTCATTACCGGGGTTCCTCCTCCCTAGCTGCTGCAAGGTCGTCTTGAGCCTTGGGCCCAATTAGGACATCGTTTCTCCGTCGAGACACCACGAAGGGCACTACTGACATGCATGCCGCACCCCACCCACGTTGCTTTTCCGCAATTACGACAAGAGACCTTGGAACACATTTTCGTTAAAACAAATTGCTTGAAGAGAAACTAATTTTTGTGGGCTACAAAACAATGCAAAAGAGCCGAGCCAGTACCGATACAGTTTATTGCTGTTGATATGGCTTATATACCGGTGACTTTGAGCCATTCCCCGCCGCCATCGGAGAAAAGCAAAAGGCCTTCGCCTTCTAAAGATTGACGTTGCAAGGATGGATGGATGAGGTGTTGTGGACACTGGAACGTCGCCTGGCAGGGAAGCCAAGGAAGCTGTTGAAGCAATAAGATCAGGAGAGGATGCAGCCATCTCGCGACCCACCTTCCCGATCCTTGTTCAAGATGCCGCCAAATCCATCGAATACAGTACGGTATATGAGGTCTCTAGAGTGGCTAGCAACGCCTGATCTCGAGTTTGCTGGCTACATGTAGGTAGTTCACTACAGAATTTGTGGTCCCTGGAAGACTCCGTACAATCAACTGTGCCCAGAATTGAAAGCAACATGGACAAGCGAATCGAATCACTTGGGTAGATAGTGCTTGCATTCTAATGTTTCTGTCTTTACCTCATGGATACTTGCTAGCAACCAAAGTTCATTCTTCCTTTCCATAGGTCTTTTTGCTGACAGATGAATACTCCCCAAAAGGCTGTACCGATGTACCCTTTTTCTTTTGTTTTTTGATCATTGCCCGATCCAATTCATGTGTACGAATCACAAAGAGGATCATTTCAATAAAGAGCATGGCAACACCAGAAATGACACCAATAATCACCTTGCGAATATCCGTTCCTCCAGGTAGGACTTTAAACTCTTTCCACACAAACCTCAAAACAGGCCCCGAAAAGAAGAACATGAACACCCCAAAGGAAATGGGGGCAACAATCATGTTGAGTCCTACGCTTGCAGCATAGGTCATGGATTTGGTAGTGATATCATCATCCTGCTGTTTCTTGCCTCCAACATTGGATGTCATTTTGTAATAGTTTGTTTCCTCATTCTGCAGTCGCAATCGTTCCATGCGTTCCCGGAATTTGCGTTTGGCGTAGCTATCATTGTCATTACTTTGGGGAGGTGGTGTAAAGTATATTTGGGTCTCACCCAGAGCTTGTTCAAGTTGATCCACGGTAGAACTAGTAGTCGCAGCACCGTCATTGGTAGTAGCGTCATTGGCGGTTTTGCAATGCTGTAGTAAAACTCTCATTGACCGAATGACTCCAATAGGAAGGTATTTGGGACGATCTGATTGGGCATTCCATTGCGTCTTGTCAAAGTCCAGTAACGTTGCCTGAGCCTCGTGAAGAGAAAGAGGTACCAGCAATGGTTTCGTGGCACCACAGGTGAGCGTCTGTTGTGTTTGTGACGAGTCGGACGAGACTGTCGTCAGCAAAGGCGCGTTCTGTCTTTGCTCCTTCTTGGCAACGGAGAGGCATTCATCATACAAGGAGAGCAAAGAGTGGGTGGCTGTAACGCCCAGTAGACCCTTGATGGTCGCCATGGTCGATGCTTTTTCGTTGGTTGTGCCATGGCGTCTGGCGTCGAGGCAAAGATTTCGGATGTCAGATTGAGTTAAGGATATATGTTCACGACTCAGTGAGTCACACGAGTTCTGTCGAACAGAAAGCAAGAAACAAAAAGTCGCTAAAAACCGCAAAAAATTACTTTTTGCGAGACGATGGGATTCTGCCGTTGATCCTGTCAAAGTAGAGCGGAACCAGCATAGCATAAAGGAGGGAGAGAGAGAGAAGGGCTAGCCATCAAGCCAACAAGATTGTTTTTTCGTGACGGCAATGCGATCGTCTTTCTTTGGAGGAAGGAACGGGGAGGAACAGCAAAGCCAAGACAGCAACGCTCCGACGGGCTCCACCAACAATAGCGGCCCCACCAATCCTGTCATGGACTTTTTGCGTCAAAGCTTTAGTGGTGGGGCTGGCTCTGATGGAGCCACAGAACAGCAAGGCGCCAATGATACTTCTCAGCAGGCAAACAACAATAACAATGAGACACATCAGCATCCCCTCATGGAATTCTTTCGTCAAAATTTTGGGGGAGGGCCGGATGCAGCAGCAGCTGCAGCGGCTCAGTTTGGAGAGTTCACCGAGGGTTTGGCGTCACACATTCCAGCCATGCAACAACCAGTGCAGCAGCAGCAAGGACCCACCGGTCCTCCACCAGCGTCCGCCACGGCACTTCGGCAGTTGCCAACCATATCCGTGACGGCTGCCGATCTCGTGGACGCATCGAATCGAGAATGTTGCATCTGTTTTGAAGAGTGAGTGGCCGAGTTGCAGTCAGTATGCAGCACGTTGTTTGCTTGATCTGTCTCATTTCTACTTATTTTCGTATAACGGTTCCAGAAACAACATTCACGACAAAGTTGTTCGCCTGCCATGTGCTCATATTTTCCACTCTGATTGCATCACGGACTGGCTGAACCGTCATTGCACGTGCCCCACATGCCGATATGTAAGTCAATTTCGAAGGTATGGCTGACCACAAGTATTGTATGTGTCCTGAATCTAACTTGCTCATCTTGAATGAAATGAAAGGAACTGGCCACTAACGATCCCATGTACGAAGCAGGTCGCCGAGAACGGATGAAAAACCGTAAGCCACGCTACGCCAAGTATGAATTGAAACGGATGAGTATCAAGGAATTAAAGGCTTTGTTGCCACGGCAGCGACGGTCCTCAGCCATGTTCTCGGACAAAACTGATTTGATCGACTATGTGATTTCCAGTGGTACGGTGGACCTCATCAGTGCGCCACCACCCGTGGAGTTTCCCAGTTTGACATTCCTGCGAAGTATGGGCGCTGGCAAACTAAAGCGTACCATGAATGAGACGGGCGTCTACTTTGATCCGCGAGATGTTGTCGAGAAGGAAGACATGCTACAGCTCTTTGTGAATAGTGGGCGAATTTGTTTGACGGAGCAAACCGAAGACGACTCGGGTGGACCCGATACAACCTACGGACATGCTCCTTGCACTCGGCAACGTCGTCATTCCTATGATGATGATGCTTCCTTAGAAAGCGATGACAACAATCGGCAAACAATGAACGGGCAGTCCGCCAAGGCGCCTCGCGCCACTGTTCTGGTTGAGACTGTTGGAACTTACAGTGATGACGAATATAGTCGAGATGGCACCGACACAAACCAAGAGAATACAACCCAAGAAGATTGGGACTTTAGCTTTGTGATGGAAGATCAATCTACCACCGCTGCGTCTGCGGCTGAACGATCCATTGAGGTGGAACGAACTGTGGAAGAACAGGATGTCGTATTCGAAGCGGATGCCGCACCGGCAGCGGACGATACCAATGAACGCGCTGACGACAATGCCAACAATAATGATCCAATGGATGTCGAGACTGTGGAGACGGCCGAGGAAGAGGAAGATTCTGTGAGCGTTTTGACTGGGAGTAGCGCCACCAGTGTTTCCAGTGCAGCAGCCGAAACAACAACCAGCAACGTGGGCATCGACGACTCGGATAGCCAACGAAAGCGCCAACGAGTCCAAGCGAACGAGGAACCAAAGCAAGAGGAATCGCCTGCCGCCCAGTTCGCAGGACTTTCCATCTCACAGTTGCGGTCTCTGGCACGAGAGCAGGGCGTCGATATTTCCCGCTGCATTGAACGCAGCGAGATGATTGAACGGCTCACAAGTCAAAGCAGTGGCAATGGGGCGTCTTTGGATCCAGATATTTTCCAGTCATGGACAATCTCGCATCTCCGAGCCGTCGGCAACGAAGTGAGCGTGAGTTATGGGCCAGGTGCGAGCCACCATGACATGGTGAAAGCTTTGATGGCAGCAGCAGCGGAACGTCCACCCGTCGCGCGATATGTGAAAGCGTTGTCGCCCTTGATGTCCATGAGCCTTTCGGAATTACGTGCGCTCGCAAGACAGTGGCAGATCGACGTTCATGATTGTTTGGAGAAAGGTGAAATCATTCGCCGGCTTGCGGCTTCTGCGGCCAATCGGGGTTAGGGACATTTTCAACAACAACTATGTTGGACATGGAGGCAGAAAATAAATGGATTGAATCGAATCGAATCCTTCATTCAATCGTTCGAATCATTCAGATTTATAAGGTATTACGGTACCCGTAGAACAACAGCATCTGTCTTGTCGTTTTGAGTACTTAAAAGTTTAGAGATGACATTAGATCGCTTGCATGCTTGTGCTGGATGTCATCAGCAGCGCTATGGATGCCAATTTCCTTCGCCAATCCCAAAGCTGTTCTGTTTTGTCCTCAGCTGTTGGTTCTCGCGTACAACCTTGTCAATGCATCGAGCAATCTTCTCGTGGGGGACTGGATGGTCTGTGTGGGACAACACTGTACCATTGGCGGAACAGGGAAAAGGCACCCTCTTTGAACATACGTCGTTGACAGTAGCTTCGAGCTGTTGAAAGTCTTTTAGGGCAGCATCAAAGCGATCGCGGCCAACGACTTTTTCTATGGTCAAGTCAATGCTGCGATTAACAGCCGCAAAGAGAACATAGTCGCCATAATTCTTGGCCATCCATTCATCTGACCGAAAGTAGTGTTGCATTCCAATTGATGCGTGGCTCTTGATGAGTTGTTTGCACTTTCCATGCTCGTAGCGGTAGCTGCCTCCAACATTGTATGCCATGCCAACAATATCACCTACTTCCAGTCCCAGCAGGAGTTGTAATAGCACCAAGGACTCTTCCATGCGTTCATTGAGGATGACAAAGTCGTATTCTTGTAGTGTCCGATGCACGAGTTGTTCAATGGCCTTTGGTTGAATCACTTGTGTTGGGTGTAAGGGATGCCATGCCGACCATTCCTTGATGGACTCCATTGCAATATAGTTTAGCTGGTACCCCCCTTGACCTTTGGAGGTACATCCATTGGCCACGCTGGTTGACTTGTTGAGATAATCCACAACAAAGGCATCATCTACCGGCACTTCTGTTCCATTGGGCGAATGTCGTGTTACGTATGACCAAAAGAATCGGCTCATGGCACGTTCTGCAGGATTTCGCAGCGATGCGACCAGGAAGGATTGGTTATGCACTCGATTTCCATACCAAAGCCCGGCGCCATTGATGTGGTCTTCTCGATGTTGACACGCAACTTCCGTACTGTCATGCCCCACGTTTTTGTACCTTTGAGCGACGTTGCTTACAATGCGCTTGACAATGCGACTAATGGTGGTAGAGCCCGTTTTGGGTGTCTTGACAAAGAGCAACCCCTTGGGGGGACAGAGCATGTGTTGACTGGTGCGGCATGATTTATCGTAGGTATCCTGGGTGCACCAATATGGAGGGCCGGTGTCGTCGTCAATGGTTGGTAATAATAGGTTCCTGCCAATGCCAAATGGTCTGGCAAGTCGTTCTCCTTTCAGCTGGCATCGTCTTGCCGCCATGAAAGTGTTACCATTGATAGAACTGGAAGGAGTTGCTGGACGACTGCCAGCTATGCCCGAAAACGAGTTATACACGGTTGTATCGTTGCTGATTGGCTTGGTGGACGTTGCAGTAGCACGAAATGGAGGTTTTTCTTGGGCAACATAGAAGATGGCATAGGTTGCCAATAGAACCAAGGCGCTCAAGGCAAATGCTCTTCTCGTCCATGGTGTCGAGCTGATATTTTCCATCATCTCACTGTATGCTTCTCTGAAGAGGTTTTCATGAGTTTTCTGCTATGACAGCGAAGCAAGTTGATGTGGCACAAGCGGTGCTTGCAACGCCCATGCTGGAAAGCTTGAAAGGTGCTCCTTTTGAACCAAAATGTGAGAATGAGCAAAAAAGAAAAAAAGACGGGCCCTTGAGATCTATCTCATGGCTTGCGGAAACCTTCCTCAACAACCATGTCCTGTTTATCCAAGAGCGTGCCTGGTACCGGTAGGTACCCCATGAACTTGGAGGAAGGCGCCTGAGATCATCATCAAACTACAAGACCTTCCTTCTTCTCCCTCTCCCAAAGCTGTTGTCAACAGGAAGCTTCAGATTCGAGTCTTGGGAGTGTTCTAGAAAACTCTCTTTAAAAATCGTAAATGACGTCACTTTCATGAGTAATCTTTGACCCCACGTTTCAAGCCGAGCCACAAACCTTCAAACTTCAAACCTTCGTGAGACCCTCGCTACAACCGAGAGCTTCCATCCATCGATCAATCAATCAGCCAGCAACCATGGCCCCTCCTACCGTCGGAACCTTTTCTTCTTCTGCCGTGGGCAGCCTGACTGTGTCCAAGTCGACCTTGGAAAAGGATATCCTGCTGGCCTTGTTGGTCAACACAATCTCGACGAAGCAAGTCAAGGTCGATATCAAGACGGGCAAAAAGCCCGTGCCAACGGAACTCAAGGTGCTCAACAATTCGACCTCGCTCTTTCAGCGATCCGCCATTGTTCGTGGTCTCTGTGGCGCTGCTCTGTTGAATGCCCTGGATTATGGACCGTTTTATCTGTTGGGAGGTCACGCGACACCCGGATCGCCCGAAGAAGCCGTTGCGTTGGCATCGATTTCGAGTTGGATGAGTGTCGCGGCGTCGACCGATCCTCGCGATGATGCCTTTTCCCAGGCGCTCGACCGTCACTTGGACTTGCGTGCCTTTTTGACGCCCAGCGCCAATGCGACCGTCGCCGATTTGGATTTGGCGCTCACGTTGTTTGGAAACGCAACGGCCTATGGCTATCCCAATGTAGCGCGATGGCTGCACCAGTGTCATGCCGTCTGTCAACAAATGGCAGCTCCCAAAGGAGGACCCTGTGGCGACATTTGCATCCCTGCTCCAGCTGTCCAGCCGCCAACACGACTCTCGGCTCCGTATTTTGACTACGAATGGGAGACGCCACCCGCCAAAAAGGAAGCAGCACCTCCCAAACAGCAGGCCGACAATAATAATAAGGGAGGCAATAATAAGCAACAGCAGCAACAACAACAACAACAAGCCAAAGGCGAAGGCAAAAAGAAGGAGAAGAAAGCTCCGGCGCCTGCTCCAGCAGCCGGCGGTGGATTTGATATTTCGGCTTTGGATATCCGAGTGGGTAAAATCAACAAGGTCTGGCCACATCCCGAAGCGGACAAATTGTTTTGCGAGGAAATTGATGTCGGGGAAGACAAGCCACGATCCATTGCTTCTGGTCTCAGGCCGTTCTACAAACAGGAAGATATGGAAGGAAAGATGGTCCTTGTCCTGGCCAATCTAAAGCCTCGGACGATGCTGGGATTTGCGTCCCACGGAATGGTCCTGTGTTCCAGTAATGCCGACCACACCAAAGTGGAAATTGTCAGTCCTCCCGAAGGAACCAAAGTCGGAGAACGAGTCGAATTCGAAGGGTTTGAAGGCAAAGACCCCGAACCGCAAAATAAGGTTGCCAAAAAGAAGATCTTTGAGGGATTGGCTCCGGATTTGAAAACAACCAAGGACGGAGTAGTGGTCTGGAAAGAGGCACAAGCCAAGACTTCGGCTGGAATTGTCAAGGGCATGCCCGAAGGACAGGTGGCATAATAAGTACGATATCAATTAAAAATATATTACGTTACTCTAGTAAAAAAAACCTTCTCCAGCACTGGGACTTCAGGGATGTCTCGTGGACTCGAATCTCAATCATTCCCTTGAACCAAACCTTTGCTTTGGAAGTAGACTACTGAAGCTCAACAGATCAATTCCATTCCATGGGCAACCATTGTCATTCTAGCAGCCTGCCAGCATTTATGTCTCTTCATACCAAAGACATCCATTTTTCGTGGGCAAATGGGAGGATCCCCAACAGACCACTTCGAGCAGCATGGCGGCATGTGAGTACTGGTACGCCGCATGGACAGCCATTTTCATGGGCGTATTTGAGGACTTCCATGGGTCCGTCTTGCAGCGTTGTTCAATCCCAATCAAATCCCTTGTTGGTGGCCCAAAGGACCTCAACGAGGAAGAGAACCCTCCTCGTCTACCATTCTAGTGAATGACTTCAAGACTACCGTATTGTTTCAAAATTGCCCTGGTTTGTGAAAATACATGTATGTGATCAAACTCAACCACACTAATCCCATGATGTCTTCCCCAAAGATAACGAAGCAATCATTATGGAATGAGGGGGCACTCTCAGTGCTGGTCTAGCGGTCTAATGCCGTCGTCGATTGCTAGTAGAGGTCGAGTTATTAATAGCGGATATGTGTGATAATTTGGGCACCACCGTTTGGGGAGTACCGGTACCGGTACATGTACCATACCGGTACCGGTACATCTTCCGGTACTTTGCTCCCCAAGCCCAAGCTATTTCAACCGTATCGATCTTTGACGGTATGCTGTTAGCGTACTATCTAGTATGGGACAATTTCTTGATACATACTTTTACAAGGATGACTTCTTTCTAGATACATTGTTACATTGCCGGTAGCTATGAGAGGGAATGAAATGAGGATTCAACGAGTAAAGGGCTCGACTTAACGAACGGCTTTCTCAAAGAAGGTGCTCTGACTGTATGTATTGTATGAACGAAAAATGGACACATTCGATTCGGAACACTCAAGTATGATTTGTATGATATTGAGAGACAACTTCCTTCATCCATCAAGCCATTGGAGGGCTCAACATGTCCATGATCAACATGGATTCCGAAAGGAGAGAGTGCGTGTACAGCGTCTGTGTTCGATCAGGGTAGATCTCGCCAGTGGGGAAGTCGCCATCTTCAGGAACCACAATCGGATTGGCACGCTCTAGACTCCAATGTTCTGGAAGTGCTGCCGTGTTACTGCTGCGCTGGCTAAAGATACCTCTCAGTTGGATGGTATCATACGCCTCAACAATGGCTGTATTGTCGATTCTCATGAATGGTAAGCAAATATCCTCTTCCTCGCTTGTTTCGCACGAGTCCGACACTGGATTGGCTAGTTTGAGCGAGAGAACATCTTCCGATGCGTCGATCCGTTCTTCACCGGCATTATCGCGAAAAATGGAAGGGGCTTGTCTAGATTCACAAGTAGGATCATCCCTCGAAGAGCTCACAGGAATTGTATCCGTATTTACAAGAGTGACAGTCGTCGATGATCGATGCACTACCGCAGGAGGAGGGAAGGATTGTACAGAGCGATGAGTGGGCTTGGTGACGGCCGGTTTGCTGCTGCTATTGGTTTGGTTTGTGTCAGCTCGATTCACGTTGATGTTGCCAAACGGACGACGGACACCCTTTTCTCCTCGGGAGCTCATGGTTGCGGGGGTAGATTGAACAGTGGGCATCTTGTTAGCTCCTTTTGTTTTGAAACACTGAGAGCTGACTGTCTCAACAACAAGTCGACAAGGACCAAATTCCTTTGCTGCTTCGGACGATTTTGTGGGCGTTGTCGTTTGAATATTGTTCCGTTTGGTGACTGTAACGACTATGGACTCACTCTCTAAACAGACGACGGTTGGTGTGGCACAAACGTTAAGTTTGCACACAGAAAAAAGGCGCGGTTGCACCCAAAAGGAAACCGCCTCGTAGATCCTCACATTTTTTGATGTTTCGGGTTCGTTCCAAGCACTCGATTGCCACATCAGTTTAGAAACAAACTTGGAGTTACGATATTAATGACACCAAACCAATCAAACATGATGTTGCATTTCCTGATTCTAATGTTGGGCACAGTTTCCCCGGTGGAAGGACGACCGATGCTAAAGCCAAGGGCTTTGAAGGGCTCGGACTCCCGCGATATGTTTGTTGCACTGCCGGTCGCTGCACAGGGACAGGCCGTCTTACCGGTGGATTCAGGAGGACAGATCGTACCGGTAGCAGCGGACAGAAATGATAAACATTCTCGAAGCGGATCCTATTCATATGCTCTTGGAAGCGATATGTATGTCGTCGTCCAAGACAGGAGTGCAGCTGGTGGTAGGAGTGCAGCTGGTGGCAAGAATAATGCAGCTGGTGGCAAGAGTGCGAGAGGATTCAAGAGTTCTGACAACGATGTTCTTATCGTTGATTATGGCAATGGCATTGGAAAGAGTGGAGCTTCAGGTGGACGAAGTGACAATGGAAAAAGTGACCATGGGAAAAGTGGGGGTCGATCAAATGATTTTGGAGTTGTCAATGGGGATGCAGGATCCAAAAAGGACAGCGGCAGTCGCTACGTTCCCATTGTTCCACCAAGTAAGATGACGGCAGCCATGAAGCCTTTCCTCTCTGTCACAACAATCATTCTCACTGGTCCTTCTTGTTTATCTCGTTCCTATCATTTCAGCTCCTATCGCACCGTCTCCCCACCCTGCGATTGCACCCACACTAAATGCTCAAACTTGGCCACCCATAAATGCTGAAACTGTGCCGCCAACTCTAATTCAAATTACGCCAGCTCCCACAGTCCCTCCAATTCCAGCGCCAACGCCAGCTCCTCCAACTACCAGGTAAGTCCAGGGAAAATGCATCTCACACCCATCGAAATGGCATCATGATATCAGCATGATATCTAACAATTGTTTTTCCTGTATCTTGTAGCACATTGTCTCCTACTTGCCATAACCCAACAACAAAGCCCACTCGAATCCCCACTTCTCCACCTACCAGACCTCCAACAAAGAAACCAACAAATTCGCCAACAAAGAAACCAACAACAAAGGCGCAACGCTTGCGCCAACCTTCAAGCCACCCACGCTCACGCCGACTTTGAATGCCGATCTGCCTGTCGTGGACACACCAGCTCCAACTGATACACCTACTTGTCACACTACTAAGTCACCCACACTGACCCCGACCTTGAATGCGGATCTTCCCATTGTTGACTCGCCAGCGCAAACAGAGCCACCAACCAGTCCACCTACTGTACCACCAACGGCCACCACAGCTGTTCCTACTTGTCACACTACTAAGTCACCCACACTGACCCCGACCTTGAATGCGGATCTTCCCATTGTTGACTCGCCAGCACCAACAGAGCCACCAACCAGTCACCTACTGAACCACCTACACTGCCGCCAACAGAACCACCAACAGAACCCCCAACGGCGCCGCCAACAGCTGTTCCTACTTGTCATACTCATTCACCAACGTCAAGCCCAACTGTTCTTATCGCAACATTGCCCCCAACATTGCTACCAGTTGTTGCAGACTCTGAGGCTCCCAGCTCTGCACCAAGTTCCATCCCCAGCTTTGCACCAAGCAGCACCCCCTCAGATGCTCCAACCATCACCCCCACTTGTACCATTCTTCATTCTCCCAGTGCTGCACCCAGTGAGCCCCCAACTACCACTGCGCCAACACTCACTCCTACCCTGAATGCAGCTACTCTACCTCCATCCACTCTACCAATCGTGGATGCTCCCAGTAAGAGTCCAAGTTCTGCACCTAGTTCAGGGCCCAGTGCTACTCCAAGTGAGAGCCCCTCTGCTACACCAAGTGGTGCTCCAAGTGAGAGCCCCTCTGCTACACCAAGTGGTGCTCCAAGTGGGCAGCCCACCGCAAAACCCACGTCTCAAATTGGTACTCTTGGGCCATCTGCAGGACTTCCAATCGTCGATAGACCAACTAGTTCAACACCCAGTGCCACTCCTATTTCCAGTCCAAGTGGAAGTCCAAGTTCAGAACCCAGTGCCACTCCAAGTGGAAGTCCAAGTAGCAGCCCAAGTGATAGCCCCTCCAGTCTACCAAGTGCTTCTCCAAGTGACAGTCCCAGTGCAATTCCCAGTGTAAGCCCCAGTGCATTGCCTAGCTCTTCGCCCAGTCTTGCACCGAGTGCATCTCCAAGTTTGGTCCCAAGCACTTCAAATGTTCCAACCTTTAGTGAAGTTCCTAGCTCCGTTCCAACTGTTAGCAATGCCCCGACCTCCAGTAAAAGTCCAAGTGCTGTTCCAAGTGTCTCTCCAAGCTCAGCTCCCAGTGCATCACCTAGCAGTACACCTAGCACCTCTCCAAGCAGCACTCCGAGCACTGATCCAAGCACCACCCCAAGCAGCACTCCCAGTAGTTCACCAAGTAGCTCACCTAGTGCTTCTCCTAGTGACGGACCAAGTTCATCGCCCAGTTCTGCTCCAAGCAGCAGCCCAAGCGTTTCCCCCAGTTCCTCTCCATCTACTTCCCCAAGCTCCAGCCCAAGTTCATCACCTAGCTCTGTTCCAAGCAGCAGTCCAAGTGCTTCCCCTAGTGCCTCTCCATCTACTTCCCCAAGTTCCAGCCCTAGCCAGTCCCCCAGCTTGACGCCAAGTGCCTCACCGAGTGCTTCACCCAGCTCTTCCCCTAGCAGTTCTCCAAGTTTGTTGCCTAGCTCATTCCCGAGCTTGTCACCAAGCCACATCCCCAGTAGCAGCATGGCACCAAGTGCGTCTCCCAGCGCGACTCCGAGTACTCTCATTATAATATAGGTGGAAGGGCGAAATCCATCCGATGGTGAAAGTCTCAGGGAAGAAAGAACATAGAATAAGCGGGATGTGTTGCGCATATCAACATTGCAGCGACCCCCACTGCCATCTAAATATGTATAGATTTCAAGTTATCCTTCTGTTCGTGGTTTGACTGATTGATGGCCGTGCAAGTGGAACCTTCGCCCCGAGATAGTGATGGGCCCCACCGCAAGCGCAAGGGGGGGTAGTCTACCGGTACGTGGCAGTAGGGTCGGGGTTTTGAAGGGAGATCTTTGGTTGGGCCTTCTTCGTCCAAACTCTGACCCCTTCCTTGGCCAGCTAGCTAGCTAGCTAGCTAGTAGCACTCTCCACTCTCCACTCTCCACTACCGTACCTCCAAACCATACCAAGATGGCAGAATCAGAGCACGCTTCCTTAGCGGGGAACCAGAATGGGGACGTCAAGAAACCTGAGAAGGATGAAGAAGTTTGGTCTCCCAGTGGATCAGCATGGCGAGACTTTTTATACTTTTGCGGGCCAGGATGGTTTGTGAGCAGTAAGTTTATGACAATGGTGCTTCTCTGATGATTATCCAATCTCGTTCTTTCGCAATGAATACCCTAAACTAACAAACGATACCTCTCTCGTTCGTCAGTTGCCTATGTTGACCCTGGTAATTATCAGGCGGATATCCAGGTAAGAAGAGGCACCGTTAGAGTTCTTGGAGACCTCAGTTATATTTGTCGGTCGTCCCTCAAAAAGCACTGTCGAATCTTTCTTCGTAGGCTGGAGCGACAACTCGATATTATCTGTTATTCTCTGTTTGGTGGTCGACTCTGTTGAGTATCTATATCCAGTGTTTGTGTGTCAGGCTAGCATTCTACGGAAAGATGAATTTGGCCCAAGCACAGGCCAAGCACGTTGGCTCCAGTCGGATGATGAGATATCTCAATTGGGCCATTGCAGAGTTCAGGCAAGTACACTTACTTGTGGAGACCAAGTCTGCTGCAGTTTGTGTCAAGTCACATGCTATTTTTCTCACGCCTTTATTTGCAACTAACTCCAGTACCATCATCACGGACCTACCCGAGGTCATTGGATTTGGAATTGCTTGCAACATCATCTTTGGTTGGCCCTATTACGTGGGTGTCCTGCTCTCTCTCCTAACCACGATGATGTTTCTCGCGACCATGAATTATGGCATGAAAGTGCTGGAAGGGATAGTCTTTTTATTCGTCTTTATCATGGCAGTGGCACTCTTTGTGGAGATGAGCTTTGTGGGCGTGAATACTGGAGAATTGTTTGAAGGATGGTTCATTGGTTTTAAAGACGTCACAGGAGAAGATGTCTTTTCCATCACGGGAATCTTGGGAGCTGTTGTCATGCCCCACAATCTATATCTACACACGGCCGCCCTGCAGTCGAGAAAGGTGGAACAAAAGGACGAGTCCATCAGAATGGCTGTGAAGTGGTCGTCCTTTGAGACGGTGATACCCATCATCTTTAGCTTCTTCATGAACATGGCTGTGATTGCTATAGCAGCTGAACGGGTCTACGGTCAGGTCACAGACGGAGAGCAAGTAGGTCTCACTGATTTTTGTGAGTTCTTCAAAACAATAAAGGGAGGCTGCGCTCTTTGGGCTATCGCTCTGTTGGCGGCTGGGCAATCCAGTGGTAAGTCACACTCTCTCAATCTGTAATGGCTGATTCTTTGCTCGGACTGACACGCATATGCTTCCATGTCGACTTCTTGAAGCAATCACAACAACCTACACTGGGCAATACGTTATGGACGGGTTCTTGAATATTCAGCTTCCTGTGTCTGCAAGAGCTATTGTGACTCGACTAGTTGCCATCACGCCTTGTGTGATTGTTTCGGCGGCTTTTCCGGATAATCTCAACCAGGTATGAAAAGTCCAGGAAATTGTGTGTCACGCCCGTCACAACGGCATCGTGCTAGCAGCATGACGCTCACCTATCGCGTTTTCTGTATCTCTCAGATGGTAAACGTCGTCAACAGCAGCCTTGCATTCTTGTTGCCCTTTGCATTCACACCATTAGTCAAGTACACATGCAGCCATGAGTTAATGGGAACCGGGGTCGCACCCAAGTGGGAAAAATACTTGCTTTACACCTTGTGCTTTGTTGTTTGGGCCATCAATGCGATTGCCTTCTCAGCTGAAGGCGGAGGATTGTTTGGTGATTCGGTACATAGCATGGAAATGGGCTTTGGAAAGGTCGTCCTGATTGTCATCGAGATTCTTCTGCAGATATTTTATGCCTGGTGGAACTGGAACTGTCTCGCAACACCTGTGTCACCGTCAATATCGGATTCCCAACAAGACCATGAACTTCAGCTGACAGATCAAGCAACTATTACTTGAGGAGCAGCACTGCAACTTCTAAAGGTGAGTTGGCTCGATTGATCGTCTTTCAGAAAGCACCATTACTAGGCCTTCGCCCTTTCTCCATGGGTAGAAAGTTTTCCTAAGTGTGCAAAAGAATATCCACCGCTTGCGCATGAACGGCACAGCCAATGTGTTGTTCGCGAGTGGGATCCTACTCTAAAGGGAGAGAGCTGTGTTTTTCAATGCGCGTGCACTCTGGGAGGTATAGGAGCAACATTACTAGCACATTCTCACCCATTTGACTTTTCTCGCTTGCAGATCATGGAAGCATGGATCGGCTGTCGGTGAAGCTTGACCTTGCCAAGAGCTTCCTGGCAGACCAGGACTTCTCTTGGATCCCCCTTGAAGGGGAATCTCACCCGCCACAGTGGCCTCTGGATTCGAAACCTGACAGAAAGAAGAAGACTACAACTACTCCGTGGCAAAATATGGTTGGATAATTAATAAAGCTCCTAGTAAGCTAAGTTAAATCTGGAAAATCTGGTTCGTCCAGTAGGCGACGGTAGCTGGCATCAGGTTGGATGGAAGTGGGAGCTGGAGGTTCAGTGTCCTTCTTGCAATGAATAAGTATCTACCAGAGAAAGGTGCTGCTCATGCCCGATTCTGCTGCAGGTATGGCATGAGCTGACTCTGGTGTAATTGTGTGATTCTCTTCATTCGTGGAATTGTTGTCCTCGTCAGCCGGTGTATCTGGTGGCTTTTGTGCATCCTCTGTGTTGATGAACTCTTGTCTGCAGGATGGACATGTTGGTTTTCTCTGTAACCAGTCAATTAGGCAGTCTTCATGCCATGCATGATGACATCCATGCGGCCGACGGCTCCAAACGACAATGTCACCAACCTCATACTCCAGCAAGCAAATGTTACAGTAGGATGATATCCCTCTGTGCTCGGGTTGTTGTGTCGTTGTAGCTGCAGTATTAGTAGTAGGATTTGGTGGACTGGTGGGATCGTCTGTACCGGCATCAACAGCATCTTTAGCAGCGGGGGCGTCTGTTGCAACATCGTCTTCGCTTTCCATTGGAGGCTGGGGCACAGTATCAATGAGGCTTTCTTCGGAGATTTCCGTCTTGGCCTCTTCCACCACGGGTGGGAAATCTTGTGGATCCTCTGACTTTTCAAGTGATTTGTCTTCGTCGTCTTCCAACACTTTGTTGTTGGTCGTAACGACAGTTTCAGCCGGAGGCTCGGTTTCGTCAGCAGTTTCGATAGCCATCTCCACTTGCCGTGTCTCTGGTGGTGGGTCTACTTGCTTTTCAGCCTCGTCTTTTTGTTGGCTCCTCTGCTCGGTGGCGCCGTTGACCTCCACCAAATCAATTAATTCGTGAAACTGGACTCGAGCCGTTGCTGCAGTTTCGGTCGTTGAATTCGCTTGCTCCGGTGCTTTAACAAGAGGCGCATCCTCCTCGTCTTTTCCCGTGGATAGTTCCGCAGTGGGAGTTGCATCATCAACGGCGACAGCATTGTCGTCGTCGTCGTTGTTGTTATTGTCCCCGACAAGTCCCAACACAGCATTTACATTCACTTCCAGCTCGTCATCATTATTATCGGCCGCAACATCCGCAATGCCATTGTCCAGAACATCTGCAATAACATTGTCTGGTGGTGCAGACAATGGTCTTTGCGGAAATGCATCCATCGGTGGAGGATTGACAGGAGGATCCACACCACTCGAAGGCTCGTCCTGGTTGTCGTTTTCGCTATCGTTGTTGGCATTGTTGTTGTTGTTATTATTGGTGTCACTCCCATCATCCAGCAGGAAGGATTCATCCGATGAACTTGCTGCCGCCGCGGCATTTTGCTCTTCGTCCTCCTCCGATTCTTCGGACGAGGAAGAAGAAGAGGAAGACGAGGACATGGAGGATGGCATGACGGGGAAGAATCCAGAGGACGACGAATCGTCCATCATGGCAGCCGCCAAGTTGAAACTGTTTGTCGTTTCTTGCGGCCTGTTGTTGATATTAATATTTGTATTGTTGTTGTTGTCCGTACCGGTACCAGCACGATTATTGTTGTTGGCGTCATTGTTGTGGTCGGATCGATTGTTGCTATTGTTATTATTGTTGTTGTCAATCTTTTGTGGTTCCAGAGGCGGTGAAAAGACAAATGTGCGCTTGAGCAGGAAATGTTTGGAATGATTGACGGCGGGGTCCGTTTGGAAGACAAGTTTCTGTTGCGACAATCGTAGTTCGTAAGTATTGTTGTGGTCAATGACATCGACATTTTTCTTCTTGTTTCGTCTTCTCTTGGAACTACTGAACCGTCGCAGGAACCCTCCATTCCCAGCCGGTTTGTCGGTATCGCTCTTGTTTTTCAAAGCATTGGCATCCTCGTCCGGAGCACAAGTTGTTTGTGTCGACAACGGATCGGTTGCGGAATTGACAATAACCGGGAACATGTCCTGATGCATGCGTTCTTCTCTGGTGGTTTCATCCATTTGTAGTTGATCCGGTACAATCTGATTGTCTTCGTCGATACATTCAAAGTGCACCAGTTTTCTTCGGACCAGTGTATTTTGGATTTCTACCCGCGACAGTTTGGGCGAATCATTGGCATTGTCTCCGAGTCCATTGGTTTCGTCTTCGACGGCTTCGAGGATTTGTCGAATGAGTACATGAAAGGGCACGGCCGCTTGATCGCCGCGTCGTGGAGAACAGCAGTAGTATACACAGAGCAGGACGACCAGTGCCACAAACATGAGTGCAAAGCAAAACATGACAATGAGAACGGGAATGGCGACCGACGTAATGACCAAGACTGGAAAGAGGACAATGTGGAGAATGAAGCGAGTGTATTGCCAAGTAATTCCTCGACACGTCATGCGCCGTCGTGGTGGTTGTTGTTCGTCGTCGTCGTTTGTGCTATTATTGGCGTCTGTATTGGCCGTGTGGTTGGTGTCATCGAGCGTGTTTGTCTGGTCGGTTTCTTCATTGTCGCTGTCGAGATCGGCCAACGGCATTCCCAATTCTAAATCGACATTGGCAGGATCTTCTGGTGGATCCGGTCGTCGCAGTAACAGCGTGTCTACTAGATGATTGCCAGTAGTAGTAGTGTTGTTTTGTTGTTGTTGATGGCTAGTTGCTGTTTCTTGCTCGACAACGTCTTCCTGAGCACTGTAACCATCCATGTCATCATCGTCATTCCCAATCTGCATCAGCATGGCAGAATCAAACAGGGGACCAGAGGGATCTCCAAATGCCAAAAATGATTCGCTTTCTCGATCGTCCAGTGGTCTCGCTGTCGTTGTTCCTTCTTCGGCAGCCGTCAATGGATCGGTCATGACCGTCATCTTGTTCTTTTTTATTAATCAAATACAGTGGCTGAGTACTGAAAAATCCCTCGATGACGCGAGAATCAAAAGGAGAGGAAGAGGCTGACTTTTGTTCGAGGAGAGGGAGATCCAAACCAAGCAGAAAGATGGCTTCCAGTGGCAATGCGAATGAATGGTATGATACACACGTGTCGTGTTTTTGACACGAGGACGGTGGCCGTGAAGGATTCTCAGTCGCCTTTTTGCGAAAATGACTTTGGCAACCACAAAGCCAAGAACAAGCTGGAAAACGCCGCCAACTTTGCTCCTCTCTTCTCTATTGTTTGTTGTGGTGATCTTGAGCTACTAGCCAGCACTGTTGGTTGCTGCTTGTCAAATCAACCGAAACGCAATGATGATGATGTGCGTTGCCGATGCCAACCTCAGAATTTCTCGCAAGCCAATGGTAGAAGATAGAATGCGAGGCACAGAAATTAGAAGGGCAGATAGAGGAGCGTGGAAGGGGGTTCCGGCAACGGCGAAAGTGTGTGATGGACGTACTAAGTAGCGTGTCCTCCCTCCAAAAAGGAAGGTCATTTTGGCGAAGGAAAGGAAAACACAGATCTTAAATCTTTTACCCGTTTTCGGACGTCATAAACATCCTCTGTAGAGTTAAAGCTAAAACCCATTCTCTCGTGGGCGACGGCTTTGGGCTTGACCGTGAGGGCTTGCGCGTTGACCATGGCGGAGGGAGGTCTTCCCTCTTTCTACAGGTGCGTAGAGTTATTATGTTGGAATCAGGTTTTGGACTAGCAGTGTATATAGTTTGGTGGCTTGGTTGAGCCAGATGTCGTCTGCGAATCTAAGTTATGGTGGCCTTTTGCCCTGTCATTGAGTGACGAGTCTACCGTAGTCTACTCTGAAACTGGTTCTCTTATGCTGCTACTAGCTAGTACGTGTAGTATCATTTATTTCATAGTTCCAAGCTCCTTTGAAGATTACAAAGTAGGCGGTTTCTTCAAAGTGCTAGCTAGCTACGGCAGCGGTTGTTTGTCCGTGAGGTTTCCTCGCGACTTAATGATGGGGGTTTCAAAGGGGGCTAGTTAAAACATTTTTTGGCAGGGCTTCACTATGAAAATATCAGTGGCAGGACCAATTTTTCATTCAGGTATACGGAAGCTTTTGAGCAGGTTGGCACAGCCATGGTAAAGCAGGCCTCTACTGAACTTTACTTGCGTAATGTAGATTTGACAAATTCAGAACCACCAGCTGTGAAATAGCTATGGGGAGAAAATGTGATGGGACGATCTACACCCGGTATTGAACTTCATCTGAGAGGGGGAACTACTTGAGCTCCAACCATCATAAAGTTGTTGTTGCTGAAGCTGATACAATAGGGGGTACCAGATACCCTCCCCGCCAAACATGAATCACCACTGAGGAGACAAATGCTTTCTTGATTGAGACGCACAAGACAGAAGGTCGTGGCTGTCATATTGCTGAGATTTCACAAGGGATAACACACCGCTCGAGTTAGCCAACCAACCACTCGCACCTCGCAGCCCAGATGTGTTGACTGCATGACGCATCTATCACCGTCGCCATGGTGCTGGTTGCTCCTGTTGCTCCAGTGGTTGCGATTCCTTCCCTTGTGGCATTGTTGTGGTTGCTTGTTGATTTTGAGGAGAGACGCCGAGTGGCTGGATAATGAGAGTGACAGTCTGGATAATGACCACTATGCATACTTGATCCAATCCTCTTGAATCAACCGTTGGATCCCTCTCTACTATCTAGTAGCTAGACCGGCGGCAGTGGATTAGCTGGGCGGCTGAACGAGTGACGAGTCGAGTGTGCAAAGTGACAGTCCATCATCAGTCGCACCTCTGCAATACACGGCTCTTAGCCTTATTCGCGACTCGATCCTAGATAGGGTTTGAGTTCGACTCATGACTATGGACGACTACGAAGCTAGAGTAAGGAAGCGAAGAACTTTTCTCCCTGATGCTAACCCTATCATGCCAGGGCTTATCTTATTCCACGGGTCCATACCAACACTCTTAAGATGGAGATTGACCGTCTCTGCGAAGCAGTAGTACTCAATAAGGTAAAACCGTTCCGAGTCGGGCGGCACAACTTTTATCATTCCAAGGGAAAGATGGATCTGTACGATTCATCTGTGATTTCCGGGAACTGAACAAAGGATTAAGCGGAAGACTTATCCTATCCCAAAAATACGGAACATGCTCTTGAATCTAGATGGATTTAAGTACGACACTAGTCTAGACCTGAACATGGGGTACTATCACATCGAGCTGTTACCTCACTCGAAACAACTCTGCACCATCGTACTCCCATGGGGAAAGTACGAGTACCAGACGTTGCCAATGGGCCTATGTATAGTCCCGACATCTTCCAAGGAAAGATGGGAACACTAATGCACGACCTAGAATACGTCCGTTGCTATACATTGATGATTTACTCATCCTAACTAACGGCGGACTGGACAGATCGTTGAAAAGTTTGATGAATTTCTCCGAAGGCTTCGAGAAGCCGGACTTTAGATCAATGCTACTAAGTCCTTCTTCGCAAGAGGAGAACTTGAATACCTATAGGTTACTGGATTACTCGAGAAGGGATCCAACCCATAAAACCATAGAAAATAGAAGCGATCCAGAATATCGCTCCTTCTACCAACAGAAAAGAACTCCGTAGATTCATGAGACTAGTGAACTACTTATCGAGACATGTGGATTAGCCGATCACATGTAACTGGCCCCCCTCGCTTCGTTGACTTCCAAAAACACGAAGTGGGAATGGGAAGCCGAACACGACAAGGCCTTTAGACAGATGAAAAAGATCATCAGGGCAAAAAAACCTTGCTCGCCTACCCTGACGTCAACGATACATTCGTTATCCACACGGATGCGAGTGATACTCAACTAGGTGCAGTAATTTCCCAGAAAGGGAAACCTATCGCATTCTACAGTAGGAAGCTCAACCCTGCTCAGACACGTACACAGTTACCGAGAAGAAACTTATCAGTATCGGTAGAAACTCTGAAAGAGTGCCATAACATTCTTCTAGGGACAGAAGATCGTTGTACACACGGACCACAAGGATCTTACATGTAAGAACTTCAATACCGATCGCGTAATGCGATTGCGCCTTCTTCTGGAAGAATACGGCCCTGAACTTTGGTACATCAAGGGCAAACAGAACATCGTCGCCGATGCGTTGTCGAGATTTAACATCTCCAACAGCCACGGTTCTTCAGAACAGCTGGAAGCCAGCGAGATCGCAGAGCTCATGGCTGCAGACGAAGAGGGATTCCCTAGCGAGTTCCCTCTCTCGTCCCCGAGATCGGAACATCGTCAGAAAGACGACAACGACATCAAAAAACTCCTCAGGGACAAGCCAAACGACTTCAAGAAGAAATCTTTCCCAAGAGGGGAAAAGTCCTACGACTTAGCGTTAAGGACGAGTAAATCGTCGTACCTAAAAACTATGCAGAAGAAGCTAGTTGAATGGTTACATTGGTGTTGCTGATGCATCCTGCCGAGACTCGCACAGAACTAACAATCAGCCAACACTACACCCGGAAGGGACTGCGCAAGACTGTCCAGGCCGTATGTCAGCGTTGCCAAAGCTGCCAGATGAACTAACCCAAGACGCGTAAGCAGGGATTGATGCCTCCAAAGACTTGCGAGGAGATCCCTTGGGAAAGACTATGTATTTACCTGATATGTCCTTACAACGTCGGGGATCCTAAGAAAAAAGAATTCCTGCACCCTTCATTGCTTGACAATGATTGATCCCGTAACCGGATGGTTCGAGATTGCAGAGATCTGCTTCAAAGCAGCAGACGAAGTAGCCATCGTCCTAGAACAAACGAGGCTTACCCGGTATCCATTGCCTGCGAGGTTACAATGGATAGAGGACGTGAGTTTCGCGCAGAGGTCGAAAAGAATCTCCGGGATGAATATGGACTTCGTCGCAAGTCATCACTACGCGTACCCTCAAGCCAACTCTATGGTCGAGCGTGCTCATCAAACCATACGTAACTTGCACGCTGTTCAAAACATCAAATACCAAGACGACCTCGTGAAAGGATCCTGGGATGGAGTCCTCACGGCGGTTCGCTTTGCAATGAATCCCACGATTCATACCACCTGCCGCGCAACGCCCGCACAGCTCGTGTTCAATCGGTACGCGATTCACAACGTCAGTTTCGAAGCCAACTGGAAGTACATTAAAGGAACGTCGCCAACGACTATCCAACAAAACAACGACAGGGAAAATCGCGACGCGTGTCCCTCAACAATACAATTGTCAACGATACTGTGGTGATTCAACAGTATCAGCACCGCAAGTACGGTCAGCCAAAGTACAAAGGTCTTTACACTATAGACCGAGTCAATGACAATGGCACTGTACGCATCCAACATGCTACCGCCAACGGCGGCACAGTCTACCAGACTTGGAACATAACGTATATACACCCATACAAGGCCTGATCCCCTTGTAGCATTGCCATCGTGCGACGCACATGTCTACATCCAAATCTCATGAGAGTGCCCCGCACTTTAAATCATATGTTTCTCCTTGTCCGACTGCCGTCGCGCCTTCTGTGACCCTTGTCAGGCGGCGAATGCCAATACACGGCTCTTTAGCCTTTCCGCGACTCGATCCTAGATAGGGTTTGAGTCGATCATGACTGAGTCTCTCGTGAATAGTCATATGAGACAGGGTTCTCAATGACGCCTCTAGTTATACTAGGTTTGATGAGAAACATTACTCTAGATATTTGCCAGCGTGGAGTACTTCCACGCTACTAGATATGCTAGACGAATACTTTCCACGCGTTCCGTTTTATGGATCGTGGAGGAGAGTAGGATGCTACACGTAAACCTACTCTATCACACTTCTAGTCTTCCCGCGGGAAGCCAGATCTAACATCCCTTGATGATTGATGCCTCTCACGTTGATTAGTTTTCATGCTTTCTAATCTCTCTCATACTTTCATTCTCTCAAACTCAAAACACTCGAAAGATCTTTACACTAGCTTTTAGCGTAGCTAGTGCACTGTTTATCGTACAAGACCAAGTCACTCGTCACAGACTTTGTGCACGCAGGAAAGTGGGTACCAACACAGGAATCGCACGGGATGAATTCAGCAGTAGGATCCACTCTACTCTGCGCATGAGTTGTCATGTAGCCTCCTCATCTTGTTGCCTTTTCAATGGCTCGATGATGATCAGTACAGGCTGTTGGTGGGGCTGGAGTTAACAGAGCCTCCTCCTACGTAGCGGTAGCCTCTCCTCTTGTATCCGTAGCGATCGATCAAAAAGGACTCGACAATGGACTGTCATGACCGCGAGAAAAAGAAACATTTTCCAATGAGGGATGGCTTTCACTTCTGCACCGGAGTCACTCCGATTGCATCATTCATTGGGGCTTGATAATAGAGGTGCAACTACGCTAAAAGCTAGTGTAAGATCTGTCGGAGTGTTTTGAGTTGAGAGATATGAAAGTTATGAGGAGGATTAGTATA